AGGTCACCCGGCTGCGCCTGCTCTTGCGCGGGGCGGCCTTCAGGCCTGCTCGCGGTGAGCGGCGCGCGGGCGGGCGCTCGCGCTCGCGCCGCCACATGGGGGCGGCGCGTCCGAGGCCCGACTGTCCTCGCACAAGAGGGTGGTGGGCGCGCTGCCGGCTGCGTCCCGGCACCCCGCGGTCGGGGGCCAGCGGCAGCGTCTCGCCGCGCGCCATCGCGCCCGCTCTCGCGGCCTCGCAGGGCCGATCCTCTATAGGGCGACCTGGCGGCGCTGCCTGGCGCGCTCGGGGCTCCGCCGGCCGTCGCTCGGCGGCGTCGGCGCCAGCGGCAGAGGGGGGGGAACCGCGGCGCGTGGCCATGGCCAAGATGCAGCCCAAACCCCAGCCGACTCCTCGCCATCAGCAGGGGGAAAACAGACCTACCTCGCTTTTGACCACCCTCGCTTCCAAGAGATACCAAACGATGCCAAATTGCAGCCTGCACTGGTCAGGCCACTCGACGAGGAGGCGCGTGGCACGGCTTGGTTCTGCCTGGAGGCGAAAGCGGGCTAGGTAATGCACGCCCTGAATCAGATGGCGAAGGCACGGCACGGGCCGAACTGCGCGCGCGCCCCGAGGTGGACGATCGCCGCCTCGCTCACCGCAGCGCCCCCGGCGCTGTGACGAAGTCGCAAGGCAGGGACCCGGGCGTCCGGCAGAGCGACCGAGGGGGGGCGCGGCGAGGCTCGCTCCGAGCTTCTCCAGCTGCGCCCGACGCCGGCGACCGCTCACCCCTTTGACCAGGGTTATTTGGTTCCCATCCTCCTCCTCCTCCTCCTCCTCCTCCTCTTCCTCCTCCTCCTCCTCCTCCTCCTCCTCCTCCGTCCCCCCGGGAGGGGGGGGGGAGGCAGCGCACCCTCCAGTCTTTCTTGGGGCTGACCGTCGATTCCGGTCTTTCTTGGCGCAGGGCCGCATCTCAGAAACGATTTCGAGCGCCCGGAAAAGTGCCGAGAGAGTGTCGGGAGAGTGTCGAGACAGTGTCGGGCGAGTGTCTCCCAGGGCCCGACACGTGGAAACCCTCGAGTTTCGGTATTTTATTTGGTGCTCGAAACTCTTTCTGGTGGCCAAGGCTATAAAGTAGGTTGGAACATCATAAGACCAGGTCGAATTCCACCCAGAGCCCGTTGCGGTCCGTGCGCTTGCCCTCGTCGAAGTTCGGGCGGAGTCCTGCGACCTGGCCCTCGTGCCGGATCGAGGTCGTTGAACTTGCGCTTGAAGCCCCTGGCGTTGCCGCGAGCGCGGGAATGCTCGGTCGTCGCGTCGGGCCCCGCTGCTGGGCCGCACCGCTTGATGGCTGTCGGCTGCGGCGGCGCCGGCGCCAGGCGCGCTCCTGCGGGAGCGCGGCCGGAAGGCCCGGCAGACCGCCCGCACCACCCAACTTTAGGGCGCGAGGATAGTGCGGAGGCTGTGCGCCACCGGCGCGAAGATCCCCGTCCTGCTCAGCCCGGGGAACGTCGCCGCGACGGGCCAGGCGACACCGACGAGGTAGACGCCCGCCCGATCCACCGCGTCCATGACCCAGCCCCTGTCGGAGCTGAGCTACCCGCGATCCTCCCGAATGGACAAGGGCGATGAGAAGCTCCCCATCGCCTCGAAAGCCCCGCCGCCGACACCCTCGGACATCCAGAAGGTCTTGTTGCCTCTGTGTTTCCAGCCCAGGGCCCAGGCGCCCCATCCCTGACCTAAGAGGTCTCAGAGTCCCCAGGTCCTGGGCCTGTCTTGTTGAGCCCCCAAGCCGGCAGCCTGGCAGGAGACGCGGAGTGCACGCATGGCGGGGCATCGCCCGGGTCCTGGGGGCCCGCTATCGTCGCCAACCCCCGGCTGCCCCTGCGGGTCCTTCAGCGATGCAGCGCCGTCGTCGTGATAGATGGTGTGCGCGTAAGGCTCCTCCACGTGGGGGCGGCTCCAACGCATGCCTGGGAAGCTCCAGGCCGCGCCGCAGGGGAAGGCCCCCGCGAGCAGCCCAGCCGCCAGCAGCCAGGAGCGCGGTGCCCGAGGCCAGGCGACGCGCGGAGGTGCCCCGCGGCCAGCGTCCGCGAGGGCCGCTTGGCGCCCCGCTGCTGTTCCGCCTGGCCCCGTCGCCTGGGCAGCCGCCCTGCGCCTGGCGTGAGCTGGTGCAGCCGCGCTTCGCCACGGCGTGGCCGCGCACGTCCTCTGGGCCCCGTCCCGGGCCTGGGCCTTGGGGCCACCTGAGGCCGGTCCCCAGCTCGGCCCAGAAAAGCCACGAGCCACCAGCGCGGTGGGAGAGGGAGGGGGGCAGGCAGAAGCAGGGGCAGGGCAGAAGGGAACGCCCTCGCAGATTGCTGGCAAGTAGATCCGGACGTTTTAGCACATCTCCTAACAAGCCAGGCTGCTGCTCCACTGGGCTCCCTCGAGAAGGCGGCCAGCGCCCCCTGGGGCGAGCCGCAGGGGGCGGGCAGTCCCCACCACAGGGAGAGGGGGGTGCACCCAAACACGCTGCTGCCAGGAGGAGGAATAGATGATGATGATGACGATGATGATGATGATGATGATGATGATGATGATGATGATGATGACGATGATGATGATGATGACGATGATGATGATGATGATGATGATGATGCTGATGATGATGATGATGATGATGATGATGATGATGATAATGATGATGATGATGGTGGTGGTGATGATCATGATGATGATGGTGGTGATGATGATGATGCTGATGCTGATGCTGCTGCTGATGATGATGAGGAGGAGAAGGAAGAGAGGAGGAGGAGGAGGAGGAGGAGGAAGAAGAGATCACGTAGCCAAAAGTAACGTCAAAACCGAGGAGGAGGACACGACTCGACTCGAACCGCCAAGAACACCATCCAGAAAGGATCAGGTCATGCTCTGGGCACGGGCAATGCTGAGAAGAAACGCCTGTGACAGAGAGAGAGAGAGAAAGAGAAGGAAAACAACAAAACAGAAGGAGAGGGAGAAGCAACTCTGGAAAACGGGTGCGGTGAGCCTGCTTGATCGTATGCACGCCTCCATCCCTACTCCGTCTGCTCCACCCCACTCCATCCTCCTCGTCCTCCGATGCCTCCTCCCAACTCTTTCCTCCCTCTCATCCATTTCCCCACTAAATCCTCCTCCACACTTTTCCTTCTCCTCCACACCTCCACATCCTCCTCCTCCTCCTCCTCCTCCTCCTCCTCCTCCTCCTCCTCCTCCTCCTCCTCCTCCCCTCCTCCCGAGTCGTCACTGGCACCCAAGTCGGTGGCCCTGACGAGGGTGTGGCGGCGGCAGTGGCAGTGCCGAAGCGCGCCCGGAGTTCTGCACGACAAGAAGGGTGCGTGCCTGAGCTGTCCGACTGCTGCTCCGAGGGTGCCGTGCTCAGTGCTCAGGAGATGCTGCAGCACCGCTCAACGACGTGCTGCTGACCGGGCCTGCAGGGTGCGCCTCTGCCCCAGGCGCGAGCAACGCCGTCGCGCTGCGGCCGTAGCCAAGGAAGAGCCAGGGAGAGCGAGGCGCACGACGCCGATGGAGCCGAGGCGCCAGACTGCTCAGGGGAACGAGGCCGCGATGAGAGCGCGCGCCAAGGCAGCCCAGAGCGGGGGGACGCCCGACAGCGCAGACAACCCCCCGCCCAGTGGGCTGGGACCCCAGGCCCAGACATCCTGCCGCTTCAATTTTTGCTTGATGCGCGGGTCCCGGAGGTCCAGACCACTTCCCCAGGATCGGCTTTTCATCCTGAATTGTTTTTTGACGCTCCCGAGTCCCGCGGGCCGGCGAGGGCCCCCAGAAGCCGAAAGCTGCCAACATCCTGCCGCTACAATTTTTGTTGGAGCGTCGGATCTGAGGGGGGTCCCCCAGTCTGGCCGGGCACGTTGGGCCCGAGGGGGGAAGGGTCCCAGCACTGCCGCGACCCTTCCCCCCCAGATGGCTGCTGGCCGCGCCCGTGCCTCGGCGGTCCAGGGGGCTCCATCCCCCGCCTGTCGGTGGGGCGCGGCTGGCGGCCCTTCCCCTCTTGGGGTATCCCCCCCTTCTCGTCGCCACGCCTTGCTGCCCACACCAAGATCCGACGCTCCAACAAAATTGGAGCGGTGGGACCGAATCAGTTTTCGGCCTCTGGGGGCCCTCGCCGGGCCTCGGGAGCGTCAACAAAACGACTCGGGACGAGAAGCGGGCCCCGGGGAGGTGGTCCGGACCTCTGGGGCCCGCGCACCGATAGACTTGGAGCGGCAGGGCGCCTGGGCCGCCCACCCCTCCTCCCCGCGGTCGGCCTGGCGCCCCGCCCAGGCGTGCGCGGGGGGGGGGGGGGCGCGGGTCGCCCGCGGGCGGCTCCGTGGGGGATGCCGCCCCGTCTTCCCGCGGCCGCAGTGCCCCGCCCGGCGTGCGCGGGGCCGGGGCGGCCTCACGTCGGGGTGGTGCCCCACGGTGGCGCGGCCGGGAGGGCTGTCGGCCGGGAGGGCTGTCGGCATCCGAGGACGCAGCTCGGCAATCGCCTCCGGCTCGTGGCGCGGCTCGTCGGCTTCCTCGATCCCCCCCGGGAGCTGCGCAAGAGCCATGCTCATGCGCGGTCGTGCGGCCCCGGATTTGTCAGATTCCGTTCGTGGCCGTCGGGCTCTGGCTCGTGCGTGCGCGGGCCTTGCGTCCGCGAGCACGGAATGCCACAACAGGTTGCGCGCTTTTTGTCCCACGTCCGCGAAGCTTTGTTCTGGTGGGGTGGTACAGGTGACCATCCTCCTGCACTTCTATCTGCGCCCCACACAAGCGTGAGCAAAGCACATCGAAGCCCAAACCCGTACCTTCTTTCTCGTCGTCGTCATCCTCCTCCTCCTCCTCCTCCTGCTCCTGCTTCTCTTCCGCCCTCTGTTGAAACATCTTGTTTGTACCATTCCCTCATATTTGCAAGTTATCTTTTCTCGTTGCACGTGCAATTTTCCTTATACAACTTCTCTCCTCACCTAATACATCCTTCCTCATTGCAGCCCCCCCCCTGGGCTCGAGATGCCTGGGCAATGTAGAGCTCGTCCTCCAAGCGATGCCTCTGGAGATCAGCTCCCAGCAGCCGGCTCTCCTGCTGGCGTTCTTTCGGCAGGGACTCTCGCAAATGTATGTCGGAAAGTGTTCGGGCGCGTGCGTGCCTTACCTCTCGTACTGAACACCCGTCCTCCTCCTCCTCCTCCTCCTCCTCCTCCTCCTCCTCCTCGGTGCTCGGTTCTCGTCGCTCGAGGATCGATTCCACTCCCCTGCAATACAAGCGCCAAGCGCCAACATTGTCACGATGTCCTTACGCGAATGGTCACGCGGCAGCAACGACTGCAGTGCCACTGCGGGTTCCCGATTCAGACCGCGAGTCCGCCACGGCAGCGCTGGAAAGAACGTGTGCGGCGCCATTTGCGGCTGACGCCCTCTGCAAACGTCGCGGCGCCCGCGAAGCAGGCAGGCGCAGGCGCGCCGCAGATCCCGTGGGGCACCATCTGTGTGCGCGGGCGGCGCGCGGGCGCGCCACTGGGGGCCTCAGGCGGAGCTCCCTGCGGGGCCACGATCTGTGCGCGAGGCGCGCCGACGCGGGCGCGGGGCGGCATGCACCCGCGCCCGATCCGCGCGGTACAGTCAGCCAGGATAATCGGGATGCGCGGTAAGGATGCAAAGGGGCCTTGGAGCGCCAGGTCGAGGTTGTCCGCGCGGAGCGCGGCCGAATTCCGAAGGATGCGAGGGTACCCTGGAGGGCTGGCCAGCGAAAGTTGGCAAGGATGCGCCGAATGGGGCAAGGCTGCAAGGGTACCCTGGTCAAGTTGCCCCATCCTTACCACTATCATGCTTGACTGTAGGTGTGTGCCGACCAGAGCGACGAAGGCAAAAGGGGTCTTATACGCAGGGTGTCACAGCGGTCCCGCATCGCGTCGAGGACGGAAGCGCTGGGGCGTGACCTTCCCCGGGCACAACTCGCGCGCGAGTGTCCCGCGCAATGGACTCTGCTATATTCCGTCGCTCCCTTCCCCCCATCGCTCGGACGTCCATGTTTGGGTTTCTTTTGGGTTTGTGCGTGGCTTCTTCGCGAAATGATCAGGGATGCTCCTCGATGGTCCTCGCCGAGGAGAACACGCACGCGTCCGAGCGATGCCAAGCCTTGGGCGTGGGGCAGCATGGGCTCGCGCCCTCTGGGGGCCCAGCGGCCGGCAGCGGATCGGGCATCGAGGGCCGCGCAGAGGAAGGAAGGGGGGGTGTCTCCTCCTCCAGCGCGAGGCACGCCGAGCGCAGCCGCTCTGCCTGCGCGCGTCGCGGCAGCGCGCCCACTTCCTCTCCTCTCCTCTCCTCGCCTCTCCTCTCCTCTCCTCTCCTCTGTCACATGCCTCCTCTCCTCATCCTCCTTCCTCGTCCTCCACCTCCTCCTCCTCCTCCTCCTCTTCCTCCTCCTCTTCTACTCCTCATCCTTCTCCTCCTCCTCCTCCTCCTCCTCCTCCTCCTCCTCCTCCTCCTCCTCCTCTCCCTCTCGTCCTCGTCCTCGTCCTCCTCCTTCTCCTCCATCCTTCCTCCCGCGCCTCCTCGCCTTTTCTCTCCCCTACTCCTGTTCCTCATCTCTTTACTTAACCCTCCTCTGCTCCTCCTTCCTCATCAGCCTCCTCTCTCCCTCTTATCCTCATCCTCATTTTCCTCCACCTCTCTTCCTCTCCTGTTGCTGCTGCTCCTCCTCCTCCTGCTCCTCCTCATTCTTACTCTCCTCCTCCTCCTCCTCCTCCTCCTCCTCCTCCTCCTCCTCCTCTTCCTCCTCCTGAAACGTAATCTATACATAAATATATATAATATCAGAGATAAACCCCAATCAGTGGATGGTTTGAAAAAAATCGTAATGTGGATCTTGAGATCGATTGTGAGATCGATTGTGGGATCGATAGTGAAATAGATAGAGAGAACGATTGTAAGGTCGATCGTGGGACCGAGACTGGAGTCGATACAATGATCTCGATCGCGAGATCGCTCGTGCGATCTACAATGATATCGCCTGTGAGATCGATGGTGAGATCGATGGGGAGATCGATGGTGAGATCGATAGAAGGGGGTAATGAGATCGATGGTGAGACCGATCGATAAGAACATCGACCAAAAACCCGGGAACCCGGGCACCCCGCTGGCCACCGAAATCGGCCCGGAACCTGGAACCGGGACCCCGGGAACCCGGAACCGGGAACCCGGGAACCCAGCCTGCTACCAAAATCGGCGGGAAACTTTCGCCAAATCTTTCAACTTCCGCTAGGACCCCTTCAGTGCAAGCACTGATTGGGGAATACACGCATATTCCTCTTCCTATATTTTTATAAGCCCGGGCGGGGGGAAAACCCATCCCCCCCCGTGGAGGAGAAAAATGGATCTATTTGACGACATGCGTGTCTTGCGTTTGCTGGAGCTGTATCGATGAACATCACGATTTGATAACAACGACGATGTTTGTTTTGACGGCGATATAGGCCCGCAGTCACAGAAGTGCAGTAGGTAAGTGCATGCGCCACAGAGGTGAAGCTTATAGCGCCGATGCTGGGCTCTTGCGAATAGTTTTTGCATTCATCGGCAGGCTCGCCAGATCCACCGACTCGCCTGCTTCTACTGAGTGGCACATAAGAGGTGAAAACTTGAATGGCGTCTCTGCGACGAGGAACATGGCAAATTTGGCCAGCAGGTCGTGCCCCTCAAATGTGAGCGTCAGGTCGCCGTGGCATTTAGCCACAAATCCAACGAACAACTTTGCCAACCTTGCTGCAGTAGCGACGCATAAGGCATGCCGCTGAGTCTGGTAGATTACATTCCTATAAAATGCTTTTAACTGTTTATGGAAAGCCTCGTTCCGAGTCGTGCCAAACATAATTTCTATGGTGGGGTTGTTAGCCACGTACTTACAGAAATTCCGAATGTACCCCAATTCCTGTACAGTCGTTGCGTGCTCGAGGCTGCTCAGCACTGTTGCTTTCTTACCTGTACTTCGGCGCGTCGCATCTGGATGCGTTGCGCAGATGGCAGCCAAATCATCTACGAAATCTGACATGGAGTCGTACGGTTTCGCCACATAGCTGTCGCTTTGGATGCGCTTGTACAAGCGGCGCGCGACCGACTCACTCATATCCGCAATCTTCGCGGCAAGTTCAGACGGCCCGTTGCGGCCAGAGCTGCGTTCATAGTATCGGCTCCTGCCAAAACCACCCAATCGCAACTTCGCTAGGCACCTGCGGATGTTCGAAGAGAACACAGTTGTCTTCTCGTTTGTTGCCTGCTCGACTTTGAGGGCAATGTGTAGCAAGTCCTTGCTGGCGCATTTCAAATTCGGAAATGCGGTTCGCAATCGCGCGCACTGGTCCAGCGACGCGGGGTAATCCGAACACACCATCTCCACTTGATCAGCATCCTCCCCACGAACAGCATCTCGAAGAGCACGCACCTGATGCACTTGGTCTTCCGAGCTGGCACCGTGGATATTTAATATGCGGTCGAGGCATTGGACGGTGATGGGCACTCGCAATGGATCGCGGCCGCCCTCTGCTGCGACGTCTCGTTTCTGCCCGTGAGGTACTTGGTACAACACAGACATCAAAGACTTGTAGAATCCATCCACGCCCAAGACTCGAACGTCACATGCGGCGCGGCAGCGATCCACAGCGCGCCGAATGCACAAGTGCTCTGGTATCCTCTCGTTCAGGGTGTGATAAAATACGCGGCCCGTCGGAAGCACATGCGATTGGTGTCCTGATTTGGGCGCTGAGAAACGCAATAACCCGCTCCGTTGCCCCCTTCGTCGTCGGATGCACAACGGCGGCGAGGTAGGCGTTCAAGAAAGCGTCGGTGCAAAAGAACTTGTCGGATACCTGATGGTGCTTGGCGCAGTCGACCGTCAGGATGTACCTCGTGCGCGTCAGATCCAACAGGATTGTAATTGCCTTGTCCAAGCGCTGGCAATCGCGCGTCAACTGGGCTTTCACATGCTCCCGCGATGGGCTCTCCTCCAACTGAACTCGGATGCCGACTGCGCAGCTGTTCACCAAGTTCCCCGCTGTGATATTTCCACTGCGGCCGCACAGCTCATCAAAGCGGGCATTGAGTGCAATCTGGTTCCACTGGCCGCAAACAGAGTACTGCAATTTCGTCGAAAGAATGCCACACCCACCTTTGACATGGTACTTGCTGATATGCGTGAGCAGCTTACGTTTCTCCTTGAACTCTCTGGCAACGCACGTGGGACATCTCCAGTGGTGCGCCGAGCCGAATTCCTGGTGGTCATCCATGCAATCGCTAACGTCCCGCCAGTGCATCACCTCCTTGCGCACTGCCGACTCCAATCCCGCAGGCCACCAACTCGCCTTTCCGCCCACTCGGCGGGTCTTGGCGCGCTCCTTGTGGACGATCGGTTTGGCCGCCGCGGGTCTCCTCGCAACGGTTTTAGCGCCGCGCAAGGAATCATCTGCCCCGCCCAGCTCGCCGACGCCGTCGGCCGAGTCGCTGGCGCCCTCAGAGCCGCGGGGGGAGTCGCTGCATTCAGTAACCATGAAGATTTTCTGAATCCCAGACTCTGCGTTTGCGATGATCTGCTCAGCATTCGCCAACGTGAACAATTCTGGCCGACCGTCGCGGAAACTGACGACGGTGCAATCGCCCATGCGCAACCCGTAGGCGTGGCCGTTCCTGAGGAGGCAACTTCTGGGAGGTGTTTGTAGGGGTGGTTGGGAAACATTATATTGAAAGCGCATAAAACGCATGCGCGGTAAGGGTACAGGGACCTCGGAATGCCGCGCTGACTGCTTTCGAAGACGCAGCGGCCAAGGACGCAAACAACACTTGGGGATGCAATGGTTCCCTTGAAACGTCGATAATCCTTACTGCGCGACTTGGATGTGAGTTTCATAAGACGCGCGAATAATGATTAAGCCGCATTAGACGGAATAAAAACGATTGAACCGAATGTGGGGCCACGCCGACATAGGAAATCACCTCCCAGGAGTTGCGCCCATGCGTTCCCGTCGTCGACCAAGAACCGCCCACCGCCGCGCACGCGCGACGGCGGGATGAGACCCACCTGGAAGCCGAGCGGGCGGAGCATGTGATTGCCGTCCTGGAGATCTCACGCATGCGCTTCGTCACGCGAGCAGCGGCGCCCTGAGTGCCGCAGGCGTCCCCGAAAAAATCCAGGGACGCCCGCGGCGAGCCATGGCGCCGCTGCGAGCCCGACGAGGCGTCTGCGTTAGAGCCCCGGAGGGTTCAGCGCCGCCTGACTGCGAGCACGAGCCCCGAAGGGTTCAGCGCCCCCACGTGAAATAGCACGAGCCCCGAAAGGTTCAGCGCTACTTCTTGGCACGAGCCCCGAAGGGTTCAGCGCCAGGTGACTGCGAACACGAGCCCCGAAGGGTTCAGCGCCTCCAGTTGAAATAGCACGAGCCCCGAAGGGTTCAGCGCTAGAGGCACGAGCCCCGAAGGGTTCAGCACCAGGTGACTGCCCTCCTCCTCCTCCTCCGCCTCCTCTTCCTCCTCCTCCTCCTCCTCCTCCTCCTCCTCCTCATCCTGTCCACTCATGTTGAGCGGATTCGCCCAACCCTTGAAGGCCCCCTTGTGCGCACTAAGCTCTGCGACTCGTGCTCCTCCTACTCCCGCGCCAGCCCTCATGTTGAACGGATTCGCCCAAGCCTTGAAGGTCCCCCTTGCGCGCAAGATTTTCATCATTTTCCTCTCCCTGCTTCCCCCCCCATCCTGCTCCTCATATTCCCCTCCTTCTCCTCCTCCTCCTCCTCCTCCTCCTCCTCCTCCTCCTCCTCCTCCTCTCCCTCTTCTTTCTCATCAAAAAACACAACGAAAAAAAAAAACAACAAAATCCTTCGCAAAAGGAATCAGGATGTCACTGGTGCTAACGAAATCCTCCACAAAAAGGAGTTCTATTGAAATCTTCCCCAAAAGGAATTCGATTCTAACCCTCTACAATAGAAATCCTTTTGTAATCCTCCACAAAAGGAATCTTTTTTTGTAATCCCCCACAAAAGGAATTCCATTCAAATCCTTTACAAAAGGAGTCCTATTGTAATCCTCTACAAAAAGAATTCTATTGAAATCCCCCACAAAAGGAATTCTATTGCAATCCTTTACAATAGGAATCCTTTTGTAATCCTTCACAAAAGGAATCCTATTGTAATCCCTTACAAATGGAATCCCAGTGTAATCCTGAAAATCGAAATTCCCAAGTACTTCGGGAAAATTTGTTTTTTTTGTTTTTTTTGTTCCTCGCCTTGGTTTTGGCTGTCCAGGCACAGGGAAGCTTTGTTTCCAGGATTTCAAAAAAATGTTTTTTTTGTTCTCCGCTTTGGTTTTTGCTGTCCAGGCACAAGGAAGCTCAAGGTCGATGAAGATCGAAAAACACATATTTTCGCGATTTGGCTCCATGGGAATATACTGGCCGGCCCTAACTGCCCTGTGCCTGGACAGCAAAAACAAACGCGGAGAACAAAAAAAACAAATTTTTGGAAAACCTGGAAACAGAGCTTCCCTGTGCCTGGACAACAAAAACCAAGGCGATGAGCAAAAAAACAAAAAAAAAACAAATTTTCCCGAAGTACTTGGAAATTTGGAATTTCAGGATTACAATAGGATTCCATTTGTAGAGGATTACAATAGGATTCCTTTTGTGAAGGATTACAAAAGGATTCCAATTGTAGAGGATTTCAATAGAATTCCTTTTGTGGGGATTTCAATAGAATTCCTTTTGTGGAGGATTACAATAGGATTCCTTTATAGAGGATTTCATTAGAATTCCTTTTGTGGGGATTACAAAATAATTCCTTTTGTGGAGGAACACTAGGATCTCTCCACCTCCCCTCCCCTCCCAGGGGGGCGCGAAGACGAATGCAATGAAATCGAAAACTACGGAAAGAGAAAAAGAGAGAGAGAGAGAGAGAGAACAAAAAAAAGAGAAAGAAAGATATGGACGGTAATGTAAGTGGAACACAGAACATGTCAAGGTTTTAACGGACAAAAACGTAAGAAAAACCTATCGTCAAATAGAACCACTTTTCGGCCTTACCCCCCCCCCCCCCAAAACCGGACTCCCAGGATCTGGGGCTTTGGGGCCCTCCGGACGGGCCTCGAAGCAGCCACCGGGCCTCGCAGGGCGCTTTGCCCAGCCTTCCCAGCACACCTAGGGCGATCAGGGGGGTCATCGGAGACGTCCCAGAGACCCCCAAGACAGCACAAGAGCGCTCCAAGAGTGACCGACGTGACCTCAAGATGGCCCAAGAGGCCTCCAGGACGGCCCCAAAGAGGCCTCCAAGAGCACTCGCAAGAAGGCCCCCCGAGGCAAGAATCATTGATTTTCTGTTGGTTTTTTGTGAATTTGGGGGTTCTCCTCTTTTCGGCTTCCCGACGCTCCAAGACGGCGGTCTTCTTGGCGTCCGAAGCCGCCTGGGAGGCTCCCAAATCGCCCCACAACCATCCGAAAGGGCTTCCAGGCAGTCCAAGAGAGCCCCAAAACGGCACAACAGAGGTCCAAGATGGCCCTCAGACAGCCCCATGGCTGCCCAAGATGGCCCAAAGACGCCCTCCGAAGAATTCCAAATCGTGATTCGGTCGTTCAGGGAGACCGCGGTTGGAGGCAGGGTGGCCCGAGAAAGCCCCCGGAGGCCCCCAGAATACGCCCAGGAAGCCTCCAGAGGGCCTTAAGAAAGCCTCAAACAACTTTTGAAAGGCCCCTAGAGGCTCTTCAAGGAGGAGCCTCCGCAAAAAAGAGCTGAGGAGGATGGGGAGGATGCGCAGGGTATGGCGAACATAAGGAAGAAGAAGCATGGAGCAAGAATAACGAATAACATCATTATAGCGGCGATGCCGGAAAAGGCAACCAGGAGTTATCGCTAAATTGTCGATTTGACTTTCCTGCTATTCCGCCTGCATACCAAAATTCAAGGACCAAAGTGTATTGCGCGAAGCGCCACTGCAGCCTTGTATATATATATATATATATATATAGATATATGTAGATATATGTATCGTCGGAGCGCTGGGGCCCAGGCCCGAAAACGTCTGGGCACGACGAGGGTTTCAGAACATTCTCTCCTAGATGACAAGCACAACACGCGCTCAAACCTGTAGGGAGGAGGACTGCGGACGGCCAAGGGGATGAAGGCGTTGTGAATATGGGCGCGAATTTTGTCGGCCAGCACGGGAGACTCCAATTCGAGCGGGGACCCGCATCCGGCAACACACACACACAGACACAGACACAGCCACACAGCCAAAGAGACACAGAAACACAAAGACACAGAGACACACAGACACACAGACACACAGAGACACACAGACGCAGAGACACACAGACACACACAGACACACACAGACACACAAACACACAGACACAGAGACGCACAGACGCATAGACGCACAGACACACAGACACACAGACACATAGACACACAAACGCACAGACTCATAGACGCACAGACACACAGACACAACACAGACACACAGACACACAGACACACAGACACACAGACACACAGACACACAGACACACAGACACACAGACACACAGACACACGGACACACAGACGCACAGACGCACAGACACACAGACACACAGACACACAGACACACAGACGCACAGACTCATAGACGCACAGACACACAGACACAACACAGACACACAGACGCACAGACGCACAGACGCACAGACGCACAGAACAGACGCACAGACACGTAAACATACAGACGCACAGACGCACAGACACACAGACACACAGACACACAGACACACAGACAGACAGACACACTGACATACAGACACACAGACACACAGACACACAGACACACAGACACACAGACACACAGACACACAGACACACAGACACACAGACACACAGACGCACAGACACACAGACACACAGACACACAGACACACAGACACACAGACGCACAGACACACACAGACACACACAGACACACAGACACACATACACACATACACACATACCTGTAGCGCCCCCCATGCGACCCCGAGAGATTGGGGGGCGCAGAAGTGTGAGTGCTACGTAGTTGTCAGCTCATGATTTCCTGCCGGATCCGTACCCTCGCCGGCCGGCCCGCAGCGGCGGGGCCTCCTCCCGGGCGTCGGCGAGGTCGCGCTCCAGGTCCAGGCAGCGCCGCGCGAGGAGGGCGGCGTCCTGGCCGCGAGGGGGTGCCAGGCGAGGGGGAGTCTGGGCAGTGTCTCTGGGGGAAACGTTTGTCGGGCCCTCTACCCCTCCTCCCTCCTCCTCCTCCTCCTCCTCCTCCTCCTCCTCCTCCTCCTCCTCCTCCTCCTCCTCCTCCTCCCCCACCTCCTCCTCCTCCTCCTCCTCCATTCCTTTTCCTACTGAGTAACTTCTCCCAGGGCCACTTCCCAGGGCCACTTCCGAGGGCGGGCCGGGCGTTTCGCCTGAGACTTCCTCTCGATGTATGACCCTGAAGCTTAAACGTTGACAAGAGCTTCACAGATGGAGGGCGGGTGATTTTCAAAATGTGGCTCTCGCCTCAGCGCCGCGCACACTCGGTCTAAACCTTTGCAAGAGCTTCACGGATTGAGGGCAGGTCGTGTTCACAATGTACCTCTCGCCTTAGCGCCGCGCTAATTCGTTCTAAGAAGAGCTTTACGGATTAAGGGCGGGCCGTTTTTTCTCAATGTGGCTCTCGATTCAGCGCCGCGTACACAGGCATAGACAAGTTGCAAAATCTTTACGAATTGAGGGCGTGTCGTTTTGGAAGGGTGACTCTCGCCGTAGCGCCGCGCACATTCGTGTACATTTGTTTTGAACATTTGCAAGCAATTCCAGTATTGAGGGCGGGCCGTTTTCAAAATGCTGCTCTCGCCTTAGCGCCACGCACATTCGTTCTAAACATTTGCAAGAGCTTCACGGGTTGAGGGCCGGTGGTTTTCACAGTGTGGTTCTCGCCTTAGCGTCGCGCACGGTCGTTATATATATATATATATATATATATATATATATATATCTATGTATCAA